GAAAGGAAACCTCAAATTAAATTAATCAAAGCCGCCTTTTAAATTCCCGATTTTTTAAATCACTTCGACCGATATTATACATAAATTATTCTAATAAACTGTATATCATCAGTCGGTTTAATATGTATCAGTGAATATGAAATTTGTCCGGTCATTTGTTTAGCCCGCCACTATCATTGCCGAAGTCGTTTCTATTGTCGTTGCCGGTCGATCACCACGGACAGTTTCCGACATTCTCGCCGGTTCACTCCCACCAGCGCGAACAGTGAAGCATGGCAAAAGGGGAAATCATAAAGTGAAGCATGAAACCATGAGATGACACTATCTCCAAGTAAAGTACAAAATCAATCATTTCTTTATTTTATATTCAAAACCCTAAAGTCGTTTTTAAGGTGTAATCATATTTAACTACCTAAAGATCCTCTTATCTAGAAATCAGTGTTATTAATTAATGAGGTGACAATTGAACTCTGGGTTTAAGCTAATTCAACTGGATGGTTTGGATTATTTAGCTACTAATTATTGTTTTATATTCCAATCCCAATTCTCCACTTTTTATTTCAACTCGCTTATTGTTTGACTTTATGCTTTTTAATGCTTGCGTTAGGAGATATATTAACTGCACAAAATCAACAATTCCTTCTTAAAAATCAGGGTAAATTACACTAATCACCACTTAATTATATAAAATTTTTATCGATTTTTTAAATTTGTCAATCAAAATTTAACTATTTAAATTATGCTAATTAAGTCATCAGCAGCTAACATTTAACAATTAAGGTGACATGGTAGTTAAAACCTTGATATAATTATATATATGATCATTATTACTTATATATTCTATCAATTTGATCACAATTTTAATTTAATTCAATAAATTTGATCATCTAATCATATGATGACATGTGTCACTAGTGACAAGTGTTATGATATGTGTCATCGCTTAATTAAAGAATTTTTTCTTCTTAATTTTAATTTATTTCATTTATTGAATTGATATAATATATAAGTTTTGAGTACTAAAACGACTACTATATCAAGTCGCAGCTCTATTTCGTCTAATTTTTAACAACCAATGACTTATTAGTAATAATATTTTAAATGACCCATTTATTATCTAATTAATAATCGAGTGACATAGGTGTACCGTAGAATAAAATTTACATAGAAGTTTTAATATATATATATATATATATATGGGTTAAATTATATAAAAATCCTTGTATTATTTATTTTTTTCTGGATTTTCCAATGTTATAATTTGATAAATTATATTCTTATTTTTTTAAATTTGTATTTTTGGTGTGAGACTATTGTTTAGGATATAGTATATAAGAGGCCACTAGGTTATATAAGCAAAATTGTTCTACAGCGACGTTTTTAGCGGCGTTTTGGGAGTAAACGCCACGAATTTTAAACATATTGCGGCGTTTACATAGCAATCGCCACAAAATGGTAACTTTTGCGGTGTTTTTAAGAAAAACGCCGCTATAGAGTAGTACTTTAGCGGCGTTTTTATACAAACGCCGTAATAGGTTCATTTATACTGGCTTTTTTTCAACAAACGCCGTAATAGAATAGTACTTTAGTGGCGTTTTTATACAAACGCCGCTATAAACTCGTACTTTAGTGGTGTTTTTATACAAACGCCGTTATAAAATTGTACTTTAGTGGCGTTTGTGTTTATAAACACCGCTAAAGACTTGTACTTTAGTGGCGTTTATATACAAACGCCACTATACACTTGTACTTTGGTGGCGTTTTTATACAAACGCCGCTATATAATTGTACCTTTAGTGGCGTTTATATATATATTCCGCTATAGACTTGTACTTTTGTGGCGTTTGTTTTTACAAACGCCACAAATTTATAATTTTTTAATGTCGCGCCCTTCAAACTTTTTTTAATTTTTCCCCCTTCACCCATTTTTCAATTCCGCCTTTTACCCAAACTCATCTGCTTCACTACCAAACCCATCTGCGTCACTGCCATTTTTTACGCTATCTCTGGTTTTGATTCCCTTATCCACATTTCCCCCAACTTTCAAATCCTCATTTTTCATTCTGCGAAATTTATCGTTAACACCGTCACCAGTCGTTGTTCTTCTTTTGATTTTAATTTTGATTTTGATTTCGTGGCTTTGGGTTTTGCTTTGGACTTTGGTTTTATCAGTGCAAGGTCGCCCTTTGCTTTGCTGCTTATTTCTCACTGCTATAAATAACGACTCTCTTTGCTCATTTCTTTTTCCATTTCCATTTAGTTTCAAAGAAGGCAGAATCAGGAGAGAAAAATGAAGTATGTGCTTGTTCACCCCCACCGAGTCGGTTATGAGCGCATCTTCTACAATGAGTTATGCTTAAGCATTCTCCGTGTCGACAAGTCGAGCCTGGTTTCATTTCCTGCACTTTCAAAGTCCCTTCTCGCCTCATCGTAAGCTGTCTCCAATAAAACCCTATCTAAAATTCCCTGGAATTAGAATTCTATCAGATTTGGCTTCATTTCTTTCAATAAAGTAGTATCGTTTTGTTCCAAAAAAGAATAGAAGAAAATGAAGCTTCAGTTCTCTCTTTCAAAACTAATACGATGATCCTTATCTAGTAATGAGCAAACTGATTAGATTGTTTCAGTTGAGGTTTTCATAGTTGGAATCTTATCTAGTAAGCCTAAAACTTCAAATAGAACATTGTGGATGTTGGCTTTTGAATTATCAGCTTGTTGTCCATCTTTCAGCATTATGCATATTTACCTTTTCATACTTATTGCTTGACAATACCACTTTGTTATAATTTCGTATTCTTGATGATGCAAAGCTCTGTAAAGAAGGAGAGAGCTTACTATGCATCTATGATATCTATATAAATATACATGCTTACTTTTCAACATTCAAAATTTTCATGGAATTTGGCAGTTCTCCTGTTGCATGATATTACAAGCATTGATAATAGTAGTAGCACAAAAATCTGATCAATTATTTTTCTTTTCTGCAGCATTATTCTTTTACATGGGCCTCCAGGGACATGAAAGACATCTTTATGCAAAGCACTGGAACAAAAATTATCCATTAGATTCAGCTCCAGGTCTTTTGTTAATTTATGTGCCCAAAGCATATATCACTTTACGGCCTTATACATTAGCTTGTGAGATGGTTAGTTCTAGCTGATTTTATTTTTGGCTTACCATTCTTTATTCAGATATCCACAGTGCCAATTAATCAAAGTTAATGCACATTCATTGTTTAGTAAATGGTTCTCTGAGAGTGGCATGTTGGTATGTTTCTATATCAATTTTTTGAACTTATGACAAAAGTATCATGACGTCCTGGATGTTAATGGTATGTAGTTTATATTCTTAACTCTGTTCCTAAACTTTAGGTTGCAAAGTTTTCCAAAAAAATTCAAGAAATGGTGGAGGAAGAACACAATCTGGTATTTGTTCTAATTGGTGAGCCTTTTATTATCAAAGTTAGGGTTTTGATCATTTCTGGTCTTTCTAGCTTATGACTCTTTCGATATATACTGCTGCTACCCCAGATGAAGTTGAAAGTCTGCTGCTGCTAGAAATGCTGTTTTGTCTGGTTCTGAACCTTTAAAAATTATAAATATTTATTAAATTTATAGAATCATTTAAAATGATCACTATGATATTATAATAAATTATAATTTTTTAATAAAATTAATGATGATTTTATACTAATTCGATAAATTTTATAATTATTTTTTATTTTTAAAAATGTCAGTAACATAATTCGATAACATATGATATAGTTTACTTATTTTTTATTTAAATTTTGCTAAATAATTTAACGTGACTTGATGTCTAAAATATGTAATATCGTGAATTTATATATCACACTATTATATCTAGGGATGGCAAATGGGTACAATTTCGTGAATTCCGCACCGTACCCGCTTTAATTAGGGCGGGGATGGGTATAACTTTAGTGGGTAGTGGGCGGGTGTGGATTTAGAAAGTGGTACCCATCGCGGGTAGTGGGCGGGTGATGGGTTTAAGACTTTATCCGCCCCGCATCCACCCCACATCCGCCCGCCCACTAAATACCCATTAAATTTTGGACTATTATGAATTTAGGTATAATTTTAGAGACTAATTTATAAATCTTAATATTGTATAAGATATAACTTATAATCCTTGGTTTATTTTATTATGCTTCTTAATGGACATGTTTGTTTTATGTTTGTTGCTTATGTATACCTTAAGGTTGTTGTCAGGCGGGTCTAGCCGGGTATGTTTCCAGTTGGGTAGTGGGTGTGGGGATGGATTTGAGAATGTGCCCGTGTAGGTGGGTGTGGATTTAAAAAATTTTACCTATCATGGGTGGTGAGCGGGTGGTGGATTTGAAAATATTAGATGGGTATGGAGATAGGGGAGAGGGTATCCGCACCTAACCTGCCCGTTTGTCATCGCTAATTATATCTCTAAAAATAAATCATGTTAAATTATTGACTTGACTTAAAAATAAGTGTTTAAATTATATTTAAAGTTAATTTTTGGTGTTTAATTTTTTTTGTTAAAAATTGGTGTCGTACCTTTTAGATGTCTATCATTAAAAATCATTAAATGACATGTGTCATATTTAAAAAATTTTAAAATGCTTTTTAAATAATATTTTATTTCAAAAATTAAAAAAATATAAATATCATACATGTCAATTAACGATTTTTTAATAGTAAAAATATATAAGTGTAACAGGAAAAACGTTATACACCTATTTTTAATTAAAAGAAATTAACTTAATGATTGACAGAAAAAAAATGACGTGAGGACGATAACGGAAATACAAAATCCACTAAAAATACATACTACTACATGGAATTATGAAGAAATTTACCATATTATGATAAAAGAAATAGAAAACGATCCCTAATTTGCTGAGGTGGCAGCATCTCCTTTGGCTGGAGTGTGCCTTTCTCTTCCTCAAATTCACTCTAAATCTCATCTCTCACTCTCCCATTTTGCCTTACAATTTTGTTCTTCAAACAATGTCAGACTCTAAACCCGTCGCTCCCCCCGCCGCAAACGGAGGCACCGTCGGAGCAACAACAGCCACAACCAACGGTGGCACCACGAAACCACATCTTTACAACCCCACTTCTCGCCAAGCGTACCGTCAACCCTACAACCGCCGTCACCACCACCATCCCCAGAGAAACTACTGGTTCTGCTGCTGTTTCTGGACAATCCTCGTCATTCTCATCCTCGCGCTTTTATCCGCCATAGCCGGAAGCATCGTCTACGTGCTTTACCGTCCCCACCCCACCGCCCTTCTTTCACCGTCGCTTACCTCCGTATCCACCGCCGACTCCTCTTCCCATATCTCCACCCTCTTGAACTTAACCCTTTCCTCCAAAAACCCAAACTCCCACCTCTCGTTCTCGTACGACCCTTTCGACATCTCATGCGAAACGAGCAACGGCGGCGTCTTTATAGCCAATGGAACATTGCCCGCTTCCGTCAGCAACAGCAAGAACGAGACAAGCTTCAAGGGAGTTGTGATGACAAGGGCGAGCGATCCAGATTCCAACGCCGTGAACAAGCTGAGATCCGATCTGAAGCGGAAGAGTGAGGTGTCGTTGAAAATTGAGATGGATACTAAGGTTAGAGTGAAAATGGATGGAGTGAAGAGCAAGAAAGTAGGGATTAGGGTTACGTGCGATGATATTAAAGGGGTTGTGCCTAAAGGTAAGTCGCCGGCGGTGGCCGACGTGTCGACTTCTAAGTGTAAGGTTGATCTACAGATCAAGATCTGGAAATGGACTTTTTGAGCACGTGATTTCTTTTTTTCTTTTTTCTTTAAAATTTTCTTTGCATTTTTTCACTTGATTATCAATGTTTTTGGTTTTCATTTTTTTTTCTCATGAAATGCAATGTTATAGTAATATTTTTAAAAATTATGTTCGAATATTTTTAACTTGTGATTATTTCTTTTAATAATAGCATATTTAATGATTGTATTCACTTGCTTTCATTTGTGAATTTTTTTAACTATAGATTTTAGTTAGGCATAATATAAACAAATACCTCTAACGTTTGACAATATATGTAAATTTGCCCTTATTGTTTTTTTTAGCATTTGACCTCACAACGTTTTATTTTGATTGAAAAGTCACCGCCGTTGGATGGAAATCGTTAGTCAACTAACGGTCAACGCCTCCAGCTGATTAAGCAAGCACATGTAAACACAAATGATGACGTGGTGTGTCCACGTCACTAATGTAGGCTGACGTTGAATTGACACGTCAGATTTTTTTTGTTAAAAAATTAATTTTTATGAGAATTTTGTACCAATAAAAGAGTGACACATGTCACTCTCCTATTAGTGAGATTGAAAAGAATGAATAAAAGCCTACTTGCGTACAAGGGAACTTGAACCTAGGGCAAGGGTGTGAAATGGGATGCCCCTTGCCACCGGTCCAAGCATACTACTCGGTTTTGTAATGAAACAAAACCTTATTTAACCTATAATAAATGTTCAGTTTAATTAAACAAAATGAAAACACGCGTTTCAAATATCTCACAGGCAGATGAAATGGGAGAGACTTGATTATTCCCAAAATATTAGGTTTAGAAACCCCAATATTTCAAATCATTTATCCTATCAAATTCTTCATTTTCCTTCAACCAGCCGCTTTAAACCAATTACACAATCGTATATTTCGAAGTTGAGTTGATTTTTTTTAACCGAATCATCAATTATTTCCTAAATTTCGAATGAGTTTTCGATTAAGTTTTGTTAAATGTTTTGGGTTTGTGCGAGATTCTAATGAGTTTTGTAGATTGCATGAATGCGTTGTTGAAAATATTTTCATGTTTCGATATAACAAATTAAGTGTTAATGAGTTTTAAGATTTTATATTTTAAATTATATATTCGATTAAATTATTCGAATATCAAAATATTACTCCAAGTTTTTCAAATTTCAATTTCAATCCTTACTTAAGTGTAAAATTGTGTTTCAATCTTAAAATATTTTTGAAACAATTTTTACAAAGTATTTCGAGCCTTAATTGAGCCAAAAATAAGTTTTAAATAGGGAGGTACCAATACCCCTCATAGGGTGTATCGATACCCCTCTATCAATTTTGGCTCCGAGAAAAACAGAATGTCAAATGGGTATCGATACCCCTATACCAATTTTGGCTCTGAGAAAAACAGAATGCCCAATGGGTACCGATACCCCTAGTCATTTAACGGTCGAAATATTTGAATTTTACACTGCAGGTAACGATACTCATTGAAGGTGTACCGATACCCCATGCTCCCAGTAGTCTTTTTCGAGAGGGTTTTCACACTACGACGGCGCTAACATCACCCAAATGATTCACAACAGCCAGAATCAATCCAAGGTGTATATAAACAAGTTCTGAAGCCATTGATCAACAAGAATTTAGAGAGAATTAAAGAGAAAGCCTTAAACATCAAGTTTGAGCAATTCAAGCTTATTTTTCATTCAATATTCATTTTGCTTTCAAGAACATCATTTGTACTCAATTTATTCATTCTTTTGTATTCATTCTTGAGTGTTCTTTCTTTGTTCTAGAATTGTGCAAACATCTTGCCTTTTGAGGTTTTTCTATAAGTTTGTGAAATTTGTAATCTTCTCTTTGGGAGAGAGTGTTCTCAAGAATTTTGGGTATAATTCTTGAGGGAATTGTAAGGTTACTCTTTGTCCTCAAAAGAAAGAACAAATTAGTGAATTTGTTGGAAAATCCTTAGTGTGGATAGCTAAGGTAGTGGACGTAGACTTTGGTTGAGAAAGTCGAACCACTCTAAATCGTTGTGCAAATATTTTATATTTTCTGCAAAAGCTTCCACTAAAATTTTAATTGCCAATTCACCCCCCTCTTGGCTATTTTTCAATCGATTAACTCAACAATTGGTATTAGATCCTCACTCATTTGAAGGCTTAACCGCCTCTTGAGTCGATTCAGGAAGAGTTATATCGATAAGTCATCAATGGCCTCCACTTAAAACTTCGACTTTGGTCTTGATTCAATGCCCGTCAACAAGCCTCCTTTCTTCAATGGAGCAAATTATGCTTATTAGAATAATAGAATGAGGTACTTCATTCAAGCAAGTGACATGGGAGCATGAAATATCATAGAAGACGGATACATCATACATTCCACTCATTCAAGATTGTGGAGTGAAGGAGAGACAAGAATGTTCCAGCTCAACTCAAAGGCTATCCATATTATTTTTTGTGCTCTTGGACCAGATGAATACGAGAGTTTCATCTTGTACAATCGCCAAGGAGATATGGGATAAACTACAAGTCACTCATGAAGGCACAAACGAGGTAAAAAATCTAAAATTAGTCTTCTAACTCATAACTATGAAAATTTCATGATGAAACCGGATGAAGACATCAAAGCTATGATGGATAGATTTTTCGTGATTGTCAATGGTCTCAAATCATATGGAGAGATCATTCCAAACGAGAAGCTTGTAAGGAAGTTAGTTTATTTCCAAAAGCTTGGCAATCAAAGAAGACGGCGATCATTGAGGCTAAAAACTTAAAATCCTTAACCCTCGATGAGCTAATTGGTTCTCTCCTCACACATGAAATGATGCTTCAAGATGAGGAAGACCTCGAGAAAAGGGACGAGCCAAAGAAGGAGACGGAGAATAAGAAAAACGCTGGAGTTGCTCTAAAATCCAAAAAAGTTGAGAGTGATTCGGATGAAGATGACGATGAAAATGAAATGTCATTATTTGCCAAACGATTCAGAAAACTAATGAAGCCCAACAAAGGAATAAAATTCAAAAGAAATGGAGGCTTCAAAACTGAATCAAAGGAGAAGGACCATATCATTTGCTACGAATGCAAAAAACTGGGGCATGTCAAATACGATTGCCCATAATTGAAGAAGAAGGGTCAATCCAAGAAGAAGCACAAGACACACGTGGCTACTTGGAGTAATGATTATGAGTCATCAAATGAAGAGGAACAAGAAGTAGTGAATTTGTGCTTAATGGCCACCGGGGAAGATTCTCAGGTAATCTCTAACTCATTTGATTTCGAAGATTATTCTTTTGATGAGTTAGTAGATGAATATTCTGAGTTGGCTTCGGATTATGAGAAATTATTTTTAAAATACAAAAATGATATTTCAAAATTAAAAAACGAAAATGATCTCATAACCAAGACCAGCAATGATCTTGAAAGTAAAATTAAAGAATTGCAAATCAAAATCGAATATTTTGAAAAGAAAAATATTGATTTTCATAACTTACTTTCAAGAGTTCATGATGATCATCAAAAAGAAATTGATGATCTTAAAGCTTCTTTCAATAAAGTTGGAACAAAACGTTTTGAAAATGGAGAAAGTTCAAAATCCAACTTTGTTAGAAAAAGTTTTAAAAACTACAATCATAGAGGTCCCTAAAGAACCTCTAATGGTAAAATCGTTAGAAATATATGGGTTCTTAAAGAACTCATTACTACTAAAGATAAGGATATCCTACACAAATGGATACCCAATGGGACTAGAATTTTAGAAACTAATGAATATGGACCCAAAAGAAATTGGGTACCAAAAATTAGAAATTAATCTATGTTTGTAGGAAAAGGATCATGACTACAAGGCGCAAAATACAAGTTCAAATTCATGCTTCCTTGATAGTGGATGCTCAAGACACATGACCGGAGACAAGAGCCAGTTTATAGAGCTTAACGACAAAAATGGAGGAGTGGTAACCTTTGGTGACAACTCAAAAGGTTACATTGAAGGTATAGGTACTATAGGTAATACATCTTTCATACAAACATAAAAAGTATTATATGTGAATGAGTTAAAGCATAATATATTGAGTATTAGTCAATTATGCGATAAAGGATACAATGTCTTATTCGAAACAAATGGTTGTAAAATTGTTGACATTGCATCTAATCGAATTTTGTTTGTTGGTCATAGAATAGGAAATATATACATGGTGCATTTAGATACAATAAATACGACAAATTTATGCCTAGTTACTAAAGATGAACATGATAGTTGGTTATGGCATAGGAGACTAGGACATACAAGCATGAGTGTTTTACAAAGACTAATTCAAGGAGATTTAGTAAGAGGGTTGCCAAAGCTAAAATTTGATAAAGATAAAATATGTGATGCTTGTGCTAAACGAAAATATCAAAGAGCTTCCTTTAAGTCCATTAATGATGTATCAACTAGTAGAGTATTACAATTGATCCATATTGATCTTTTTGGGCCAATTAGGACTGTTAGCTTGGGTGGAAAACAATATTGTTTTGTATTGGTAGATGACTATTCTAGATATACTTGGGTTCTATTTTTTAGTACTAAAGATGAAGCATTAGAAAAATTCATCATGTTTTCAAAAGTAATCCAAAACGAAAAAGGTTACTCCATAACTAGTGTTAGGAGTGATCATTGTACTGAATTTGAAAATCTTAGATTTATTGATTTTTGTAATTCTAATGGTATTAACCATAATTTTTCAGCACCTAGAACCCCTCAACAAAATGGAGTTGTTGAGAGGAAAAATCAAAATTTAGAAGAAATGGTTAAACCATGCTTTGTGAAAACAATCTACCAAAATATTTTTAGGCTGAAGCCACAAATACCGCTTGTTATGTTATAAACCGAGTAATGATTAGGCCAATTTTAAAGAAAACTCCATATGAACTTTTCAAAAATAAAAAGCCTAAAATTAGTTATTTTCATCCTTTTGGATGTAAATATTTTGTTTTAAACAACGGTAAAGATAATATTGGCAAATTTGATGCTAAAAGTGATGA